CTTGTAGTCGTCATACACACACACTCAAGACTAATAAATCTGGCAATGGCCTAATCACAGTGGAAATAACTAACATTCATAGATTCAACTTAAAAATAATTTTAAAGTACATCACCTTGTTTTAGTGATAGAACAGAACAGAACAGTACAGAACTGACGGTCAACAATAGATTGTGACTACAAATATAATTAGAAAATTCCATTGTGACAAAAATAAGCAAAATACTTTTATTTTTCAAGAAAAAATAAAAACACAGGATTTAAAAACAATCACTCCCTTTGATAAATTTGTATAGCGTTATTAGAAGACGAAATTTATGAAAAAAAATAATGGGATATGTTTGGGCAACACTTGTCAAATCAATTTGTATGAAACAATGAGTAAGACCAATTAAAATAAACAAAATGATAAGAGGTTTAACAACATGAAGAACATAGTTAACACTACTTGACCAATCTTTTTTATCTGGCCCCTCGATTACTTATAAGTTTTCATTTTCATCCCACAAGATTTCCTCTGTCATCCTTGGACTTACATCCAGCTGTTCGCTTCCCATTAGAGTTTCAATCGACCTCCTGGCTAGTATATGATGTTACTCAGTAGTCTTGTCAGTAAGTGTCCAATCCATTTCCTCCAACATATATGTGTGTTAGAAAATAGCTTCACATCTGCTTTTCCGGCTACCAGAGTTCTTTGTCGCCTACCCTATCTAACCGGCAATGCATTCTTCATTATAGAGGGAAGTAGGCAGATGTTAATAAAGGTTTGTAGTGATACTTCGTTTCTCCAAAATATATAGAATCACAGACTTGACATTTGTGTTGAAAATTCACATCTTCTTCCTCATCCTCAGAAGTGTAATCGACACTTCCACACTGATATCAGAGTTACGAAGGTTTGCCTTGCTTTCTGTTATGGACAGATAGTACAACTTTGCACTTGGACCATGTGTGTAAAGCGTTATTATAATTATCAAACTTAGTTTACCTGATAAGTGTGATGTATTCTTTTCCGCAATACATCTCGAACAATCTGATCACACACACATTTACTTTTCAAATCAATTTGTATGGAAAATGAAAGACAAATTAAATTAAACGAAATGATGTTTGATGTCACAGAAATTCAAAGACTTACAAGCGAAAACCGACCGACAAACTGGTCGAAGAAGCAGCCAGAGAAGACAGGACTCCACGTGAACATAGACAAGACGAAGGTTATGAAAATAACCAACCAACAACAACAACAACAGCAACATCCACCGCCAGTCACCATCAACGGGAGAGATTTGAAAGAGGTTACTTCATTCACTTATCTAGGGAGGGAGCATTGTCTCAACTACAGGAGGAACGGACGAGGATGTCAAATCGAGAATCGGGAAGGCGAGAAACACATTCATCAACCTGAAACCAATCTGGAAATCTTCCGCTGTCACTCAACTCAGCATCAACAACAAAGTGATTCGGATTTTCAATACAAACGACGTGAAGTCAGTCAGTTCTTCTATACGGATGGATCAGAAACTTGGCCAGAGTGTCACAAAGAATATTTCCAACAGCCTGTTGCACACCTTTATCAACAACTGTCTTCGCTGGCTCTATACTGAAGATCAATGAGATGGCCGGAAAGAACAAGAACCAACAAGAAACTATGGGAACAAACAAAACAAGAACCAATCGCTCAACAAATATGCAGGAGAAAGAAGTGGAGATGGATTGGACACTCGCTGAGGAGGCCGCTGGGTGACATCGCGCGTCAGGCCAGTGTTGGAGTGTAACCCGAAATTGAAGTGGCGTGTGGTTCGTCGGTGCAAGGGTGACATGGAGGAGATCGTGTGAAGAGGAGCTGAAACAGTATGGAATAAAATGAATGCAAGTGAAAAGTACAGGAGAAGACAGAAGCAAGTGGAGACGTGTCGTTGAAGCCCTATGTTCCACTAAAAACCTAAGGGAACAATAATAATAATAATCACAAATTTAAGAATATTAGGGATTATAGTTAACACTATCATTGGTAATTTAATCAGATTAGGATGACCAAGGTTGGTTGATAGTAATAATCAGTTGTTCCTGTACATATAGTAGGGTGTGGGCTAATTTCACGGTTAGCTATCACCTCTTCTTCTCAATAATAATAATAGCTTTATTCTGAAAAATGAGTTTACACACATTGCAGATGTTTCAGCGAATTTCATTGAAAGGTGATTTACCTCTTGTATAGTATCTACAAATAATACAATAATCGATAATACATCGTCTGAGGCATTATTGTTCCATCCGAAATTGTAAAAACAGATTGTTGAAATGTAACGCGGAAATATATATCTTTAATGTAAGTGTAGAACTTGGGCACTATGGCGAATGTGAATCCATATTACGTTATTTAAAATTTAAAATATTACTTAGTGATGAAGTATTATTAACTAGTAGATGGTTGAAGTCAATCGGCAGGAAGCCTTGCATCTAGGTCTCATGCTAATTGGCACTCGTTAGCCCAGTAGTAACCTCTCTCTGACGGCAGCACTAGGTGATGCGGGCTTGATACTCAGAAGGGACATTAGTTCCTTCAAGGATGCAGATACGCCTTGTTGGCTGACTGGTGATTGCCAACTAGCACGGAACCTCGGATCGAAGCTTCCTTCCTATTACCTCCAACCATCTAATACCGACAATTTACATAGCACCATTGAATCGGGTCTGAGTAGCTGAATCGTATACGAGCTTGCCTTGTAACCGGAAGGTCCTGGTTTCGAACCCCAGTGTGTGAGTACTGCTGATGATTCCCAAACTAGGATGAAACAGCAGATGTCCAGTACTCCCTGCTTGTTTTCAATGGTTCTCTAACTGGATATCAATCCATGATCAACTCGTAAAAATAAAAGTTAAAAATTATTCAATTCAATCATTCACTCTTCAATTATGTCACCCCCAATACTATACATTTTTGGTGAATATCAATACGATTGTACAGTCTCTGAAGATGAAATTCGTAGCTAAAGAGAGACTTTCTTCGCTGAAATGTCTTTTATTTTTTCTTCATTTATGGAATTGGAAAGTTCCCACATTCCCTGTAATCTGAATAGGTTCAGTTTTGGCAGGAAACTGCATTGTGAAATTTAACCCGCTGCAGACTGAGTAAATAGCAAATTGTGAATTTGATTTGAAAATCAAACTCATAATCAATCTGGCTAGTTTGAAGTGATTCACCTCCGTGAACTGAGTAACCTAACAGAGTACCCCCCCTCGGTGAGCTTGGTCTCAAACAGTAAAGGTGAACGAACATTCAATGTTCAGATTACTATTATCTGATTAGTAAGCACCATTGTTTTACATATGTACCTCAAACTACTCACACAAATCAATTAGTAGTACATACTATGTCATCTTAGTGTTTTTAATATATTTATGCGTTGAAGTTTCTGTAACGATTTGGTTAAGCTTTGGAGGTGGAGCTGCTAGCACCACGCCTTAAGCCTCCCTCTTTATCCGAACATGGAACCGGCTAGAAAACTAGCGAGCTAGTAATCTAGGCGAGGCTGACTACCTGAAACCATGATTCAACCTTATTCAACAGCTGTACGACAATGGCACATGTCAAGTGATCCACAACGGAAAACTCAGCGAGGCGTTTGGAGTAAGCACAGGAGTCAGGCAAGGATGCTTATTATCACCAATGATAATTGTGGTGGACTGGATTATGCGTCAAACAGTGGGAAACGAGAAGACAGGGATATCCTGGACCGACGGGAATAACCTAGAAGACCTGGATTTCGCGCGTCGATGATTTATGTTTGATGTCACACAAAATCGAAGACTTACAAGCAAAAACCGACCGACAAACTGGTCGAAGAAGCAGCCAGAGAAGACAGGACTCCACGTGAACATAGACAAGACGGAGGTTGTGAAAATATCCAATCAACAGCAACAACAACAACAGCAGCAGTAGCAACATCCAGCGCCAATCACCATCACTGGGAGGGATTTGAAAGAGGTTACTTCATTCACTTATCTAGGGAGGGAGCATTGTCTCAACTACAGGAGGAACTGACGAGGATGTCAAGTGGAGAATCGGGAAAGCGAGAAACACATTCATCAACCTGAAACCAATCTGGAAATCTTCCGCTGTCACTCAACTCAGCATCAACAACAAAGTGATTCGGATTTTCAATACAAACGACGTGAAGTCAGTCAGTTCTTCTATACGGATGGATCAGAAACTTGGCCAGAGTGTCACAAAGAATATTTCCAACAGCCTGTTGCACACCTTTATCAACAACTGTCTTCGCTGGCTCTATACTGAAGATCAATGAGATGGCCGGAAAGAACAAGAACCAACAAGAAACTATGGGAACAAACAAAACAAGAACCAATCGCCCAACAAATATGCAGGAGAAAGAAGTGGAGATGGATTGGACACTCGCTGAGGAGGCCGCTGGGTGACATCGCGCGTCAGGCCAGTGTTGGAGTGTAACCCGAAATTGAAGTGGCGTGTGGTTCGTCGGTGCAAGGGTGACATGGAGGAGATCGTGTGAAGAGGAGCTGAAACAGTATGGAATAAAATGAATGCAAGTGAAAAGTACAGGAGAAGACAGAAGCAAGTGGAGTCGTGCAGTGGAAGCTCTATGTTCCACTAGGAACCCAAGGGAACAATATTAATTATTATTATAATAATATTGTTTGGCATGTCTACCTTAAACTACTCACACAAATCATTCAGTAGTATATATGTATAGTACGTCAATGTAAATCGGCTACATAGTAGAATGAAACAATACCAACCTGTAAATAAGACATGTGTGTTTGTTTCAATTCTTTAGAAGTCAGAGTATGCCACTATCAATCAATAAATTATGAGCCATGTGTTGTATATACGTTGAAATCTTTGCTGTAGTTGCTTGCTTTTCACCCTGCATTACTTGTTTTGTTTTTGCTTTTTGTTTTTTCTTTAATCTCACATAACAATAATCTTTCAATCAATAATTCACTTGAAACATCTGAAGTCCTGCTGGTTGGGATAGTCTTCATCGATTGGAATTGTTCAAGAAAAGTTTATCGCCGAATCTAATTGACAGCAGTTATAATCAAGTCATTCCAAGGCCATTGAAGCTTAGAAGAAAAGGATCTTGTGGTGAGTTCTTCAACATGAGTTTGATGACTTTAACTGTGTTTTATATTCCCTGTTTGCTTCAAAAACTTAATTAATTTTGATGTGGTTGTGTTCTCTGAGCTGGACAGTTAATTTGCGAAGCTTTCATCGCTCAACTAGGTGACATCTTCAGCGCATACTTCAATTTGAAGTGAGCTTTTAGATTTCTCCACGAGTTTATTAATCATCTCTCCTAGTGGTGACCTCGGACGTGATTGGTTATTTTTGTGTCTTTCCACACCTTCCAGGCTACTTGTATTGTCACTCATTGTTTCTTTGGCTTGAACTTTGACCCTTTGTGTGTGTGTGTGAGGTTTCTTTCTTATCGGTTGATAGATTTTGTCTATCTCGATGTGTCTATTGATTGATGATTCACTGGAATGCCAAGCTTCTAAAAATCCTCTAGCATTCTTGTTGTTTCGTCTGTCTGATATTTGAACGTTGTCCCGGTCGGATTGATGTCCGTGGTTGTCTGTATGTAGTGATATGAGGGAGTGGATATCCTGTCTTTTGACGGCTAGCTTATGTTCGTGGATACGAAGACAAAGGAGACGTCCACTTTGGCCAATGTGGTGTTTTTCGCAGTTGATACAATCTATTCTGTAGATGATGTTGGTTTTATCTTCTTTCGCTGTTGAGTCTTTTGGTTGACATAGAACTGAGTGAAGTGATTTTGTTGGTTTGTGTACGACGTCAATTCCTAAAGGTTTGAAGAGTCTTGTAGTGATTTCTGAGATATCCTTTATATATGGTAAGGCGATTTTCTTTGTGCTTTCCTTGGGAGTTTTTGGTTTGATAGGTTGGTTTGGAGGTATATGTCTTTTGATGAAATTCCGTGGATACCCTTTCTGCATACAAGGTATAACCCAGTCATCTTAATCGATGAAAATTAACTATCTCACCAATAAACACTCAACACTACTAAGTCTGTGTGTGTATAAATGACACCTGATAGTTAGAAAACTCTGAATTCCTTACATTTTCAGCTTCAACATGTACTGAGTTTGACTTGCAGAGTAACGCTACTGATATGTAATATATATTTACACAAGTTAGTGTGCTTTACAATTAGCCACAGCCATTGTATGTGTAATGACACTACTTGGCTGCCAAAACCATGTTAGATGGGAGGGGGGAGGGAGTGACTATCTTTGATCGAATGCCATCACCCACGGATGGATGGATGAGTAGAGATGAATGCAACTAAGAGTCCATTATTTCAAATAGTATCTTAAGAGAGCTATATACATTCGCCATTTGAAATAAAAGTGAGTTAACTGATTAGTAATCCCATTTTTGTTTCACGATTCACGATCTGTGAAGCATACATGTTGAAGCTGAAAATGTGAAATGAAAAGCGGCGAGTTGGTCGTCAGTGCGAGGTTGGGTGACTTGGAGGAGGTCATGTGAAGAGGAGATGAAGGTGTGTGGGCAGACTTGGAGCGAGGTAAGTACTCTAGCAGAGAACCGAACGCGATGGAGACGCACGGCTGAAGCCGTATATTCCTCTAGGAATTAAAGGAAACAATAATGATAATAATAATAATACAATGACTACACTACTTCAGATTAGATCACAAGCCAACATCAGTTGGAAAGCCACAGAAAAGCTGTTTTATCCTCATTTAGGACTTTCAGGTTATGACACAAGTCTTTTGACTATTAAAACACTGGTAGAGAATCCAGTGGCCAGCTCACTAAATTCTAACTTCTGTCAATCTATGATAGATGGCGTGTGATCACTGTAGTCAATCACCAGTAAACATTCAATTAATAATATCCCAATATTGATTTGCAAAGATCTGAATGCTTTGAAGGTTGATCGCAAATTGACACATTAGTTAGATTAATTATTAGAAATGAACTCACCTCATGTTTGACTCCATACAAGTTAAAAAAGTTCAAAACTAGGACGAGACGAAATAGCTGTTGAAAATATTTTGGTTTCAGTGATTCTGTAGCTGAAATGAAATCACTTTTTGATCCCACCTTGATATCAGTCTAATCCCTGAGAAGAAAAGCTTGAAAATGGTACTGTTTAACTTTCTGTAGGATAATAAAGACAACCGTCATTAACACTGTCGAAGCATGCGTAAACCTCTGAAGATTCATTTACTTGCAATTAATAGTGTTCTCTGAGCTGGTTGGTTTAGTTGCGGAACTTTCGTCGTCCACCTGGACAACATCTTCAGCGCAATATTAAGCATAAAGTGAAATGATTTAAATTTGTTCATGAGTGATATAATTGCGTACGTCTCCCGGTAACCATCTTTACATATGTATTGACCATTTTCTATTGACTTGGATTTTAAACTTTCTGGTCACCTGATTTAAT